GATTCTCAATATTTAAAATTTTAGTAAAATTTTCCAAAAGAATTTAATTATTTACAAATTTTTTAAAAATTTCTTGGCAATAATTCAAATATGTTCAAAAACTTTTTAAAATTCTTGTCAAAATTTTAATTTCCTTTATAAATAATAAAATTCTTCTCCGAAACTCAATTATTTTCAAAAATTTTAATAAAATTCTTATCAACATTTCAATTTTTTTTTCAAAAAATTTAAATAAATGCTTGGTAAAATTCCAATTATTTTCAAAAATTTTCCTCAATTCCATAATTTTCAATATTTAATATTTTAGTAAAATTTTCCAATAGAAATCAATTATTTACAAATTTTTTATGAATTTTTTCTTAATAATACAAATATGTTCAAAAATTTAAGAAAATTCTTGTCAAAATTCCAATTACCTTTTAAAATAATAGAATTCTTCTCCGAAATTCAATTATTTTCAAAATTTTAATTATTTTCAAAAATTTTAATAAAATGCTTGGTAAAATTTCAATTATTTTCAAAAATTTTCCTCAATTCCATAATTTTCAATATTTAATATTTTAGTAAAATTTTCCAATAGAATTCAATTATTTACAAATTTTTTATAAATTTTTTCCCAATAATACAAATATGTATGTTCAAAAATTTAAAAAAATTCTTGTCAAAATTTCAAATTACTTTTATAAAAAATAGAAGTCTGCTCCGAAATTCAATTATTTTCACTAATTTTTTATAATATTCTTGGCAAAATTTCAATTATTTTCAGAAATTTTAATAAAATTCTCGTCGAAATTTCAATTTTTTAAAAATTTCTAATAAAGTTCTTGGTAACATTTTTATTCTTTTAAAATTTTTTTCTTAATTTAATAATATTCAACATTTACTATTATAGTAAAATTTTCTAGAAGAATTTAACTATTTACAATTTTTTTATATAAATTTTTTGGCAATAATCCAAATATATGTTCAAAAATTCAAAAAAATTCCTGTCAAAATTTAAAATTACTTTTATAAATAATAAAAGTGTGCACCAAAATTCAATTGTTTTTACTAATTTTAATAAATTTTAATTATTTTAAAAAATTTAAAAAAATTCTTGTAAAAATTTAAATTACCCTTATAAATATAATTTAATTATTCTCTAAGATTCAATTATTTTCAGAAATTTTAATAAAATTCTCGTCAAAATTTCAATTTTTTAAAAAATTTTAATAAAGTTCTTGGTAACATTTTTATTCTTTTAAAAATTTTTTCTTAATTTAATAATATTCAATATTTACTATTATTCAATTTCACCAAAATTCAATTGTTTTTACTAATTTTAATAAATTTTAATTATTTTAAAAAATTTTTAAAAATTCTTGTAAAAATTTTAATTACCTTTATAAATATAATTGAATTCTTCTACGAAATTCAATTATTTTCAAAAATTTTAATAAAATTCTTGGCGAAATTTCAATTTTTTTTCAAAAATTTTAAATAAATGCTTGGTAAAATTTCAATTTTTGTTTAAATTTTAATAAAATTCTTAGTAAAAGTTCAATTATTTTTAAAAATTTTCCTCTATTCAGTGATGCTGAAAAAATTCTAACCAAACACTTTATTATTTCTAAAGAAATAATTAAATAGTATAGTTCTTGAAAATAAATTATTTTTTAAAGTGTGATGTACAAGATTAGTTTTTAGTTCTACTGTGCAAATCGATATTTTCCTGACCTAGGGTAAAAAATTATTCTTTTATTCTTATAATTAAAAATTAATTTTTAATTCTAGTGTGCAAAATAATACATTTCCACTCTTAGGGAGAAACACTATTCTTTTAAACATTTAATCCAAAATAAATAAATAAATAATAAATTAATTAATGAAAGAAAAAACAAATTAAAATGAAAATATTCGAAAAATTGAGCAAACCGACTGTGAATAAAATATATTTAATCGGATATAAATATCCACGCATTAAGTTTCATTTCTTCTTTATTATCAAGGGAGATGAGTTTTATTTTCTTTTCGGTGAAATATATTTTCTCAGAAAGTGGGAAAAATACTTAAAGAAAAGTTAGTTTTCTTTTTTCGTAAATTTTTCTTTTTTTTTTTTGGTCGCACTATTAAAAGAAATGGATGATTGGTCTATCGGTTCACTGGTCATGTATACTACTATTCGACTCTTGGATCGCGCTAAACGTGAGCCAATTAAAGAGGTACGTGAGAGAGCGCCTTTGGCATTGCGAAATCGACTTTTCTACATCCCTTCCAATTCCAATTCGCTTCCTTCGATTGCATCCGCATTGTAGTTTTGCTACATTTGTGCAAGTTGGTCTTGTGGAAAAAATAACTGCCTGCGCTTCTTTTCTTTAATCGAGAAACTTCAAATAGAAATCTCACTTTGTTTTATTTTTCAGTTTATATCCAACTCCTTCTCCTCCTATATACATTATTTCCTCTTGCCAATGCGACATTTATCTTAAAGTACAAAACATTCTTTTTTTCCTCCAATTTACTTTTATCATTAACATAATATAGAAAGTATTTTCATTATAAAATAAATAAACAAAAAAATTATAGAATTTCTTATTAAATTTCTATAAAGAAATTTTTTTATGTTTTCTTTACAGTTTCCTTATTTTATAATAATATGTAAAGAGAACCGAGTGATAAAATCATTATTTTATAATGATACTGTAACATTTTCAAAATTATTTTCATAATTTCAATTCAATTATAATTTTCTACAATATTTCTAACTAAAATTCTTCTTTAAATCAATTGTTTTTAATAATTTTCCAAAAAAATCTTTGAGAATATTCAAATCCATTTGTTTATACTTGAAATAATTTAAAAAAAATTAAATTAAACTTTTTCAAAAATATTACTTCTACAGAATTGTTAGTTAAATGTATGAAAAATTCAGATTTTCAAAGATTATAATTTTAAATCTTTTCAAAATTCAATTATTTTTAAATTGTTTTAATATTTTTAAAAAATTTGTAAATAATTAAATTCCTGTGAAATTTTTATTATTTATGAAAAATATAATTTTGCTAAATAGAATTAAAAACTTCTTGTTCTCTAGTTTCTAAAAGAATTGTTTCCCTCCCTGGGACGAGAAAATATAATTTTGCGCACTAAAATAAAAATTAATGTTCCACTCGTGTTAAAAAGAATAATTTCTGCCCCTAAGGTCTGGAAGATTGTATTTTGCACACTGGAATTAAGAACTATCGTTGTTATCTTGTGCAAGAAGGAATAATTTTCTTCCCTTGGACGAAAAAACATCGTTTTGCGCACTAGAATTCAAAAATTAATTTTGAATTAAAAGTTTGAAAGAATAATTTTTCTCCTTACATCTAGAAAATACCTTTTAGCACACTAGAATTAAAAAACAATATTGCACTCTTGTGTTAAATAAATAAATAATTATTTATTATTTTTAAATAATATAAGAATTTAAAAACAAATAAAATACATCGACTAAATTTTTGCTGCACATTTTGGGCCAATTATATGAATATTTTTCTAAATAGCGAAGGGGTTAAAAAGAATAATTTTTTACCCTCGTTCTGAAAATATCATTTCCCACACTATTATTAAAAACTAATGTTGTATTTTTGGGATAAAAAAAAATAATTCCAACAAACTTTCACGATTTCGTTTATCGAATGCAGTGGTGATAATAAATATGGAAATAAAATAATAACAATAATAAAAAGTAAAATTAAAAACAAGTAATAATAATAATAATGATAATAATAATAATAATAATAATAATAATAATAATAATAATAATAATAATAATAATAATAATAATAATAATAATAATAATAACAATAAGAATAGTAATAATAATGATAATAATAATAACAATAAAAATATTAATAATAATAAAAATTGACACATTTTATGAAAAGAATATAAACAATACTCAGATAAAGGTGTTAAAGTGAATAATGATTATTAAAACAAAAGCGAAATATGCATTGAAAAATGTGACAATAATTCGGATTATTATACAATATATATGTATATTTATTTATGAACGAGAATAACTTCACTGTAAATTATTCACGTGAATATAGAAAATGATTTGCTATTATGGGCAATGAACCCGTAGAACGCTAAAAATATCCGATAATCTATAAATAAAAGTACCAACACAAACAGAGCGGTTTAAAATAAATTAAAAGCACATAGACTTATCTTTCAAAAAAAAAGTGAAAAAAAATCGTTTCGTTATTATAGCAACGGATAAATGTCATTTTTACTCTACAAAATATCTATTTTAATTATATATCAAAATACTTTGCAGTACCTACAATTTTTTTAAAAAATTTCATTTTATAAATATATAATAAAATAATTCATTGTTATTTTATTTTCAATCTTTGTTCTCATAAAAAATACTTGTTTATTTATTTATTTATTTAGAAACGAGACAAGTTCTTTTGTTATTAAATATTATTTTTTTATTATTTAACATTTTATTTTTTTTTGTAAGTAAATAAATAAATAAAACAAATAAAGAAAATAAAGAAACAAAAATAATAAAAATTAAATTAAGTTAAAAATAAGTACATAAAACTCTGTGGATAAATAATAAAAATTAATTTTTACCTTTTGAAAACATTTTCATTCAGTATATTGTAGAAATATTTTTGAAATTCGAATTCGATTTTTGAAATGTTCGAAGCGAGTATTTTTTTTTAAATTGTTTATTTATTTATTTTCCAATATTACGAGAAAAGACATATTTTTATGTCGAAAAAAAGGGAAAAAAATACTTTTCAAAATCATGTCAAGTAGAGAATATATAATGATGTTAGAAAAGTAGAATAAATTTGTAAAGGGAAATTTCATGCGAAAAAAAATTTTTTTTTTCAATTTGCATTAATTATTTCGAGGAGTACAGAATACGAAGTGGCTAATTGTCTAAGCGTTTGATTGCGTACAATCAATACTCTCGTAATTAGATTATTAATGAAGTATGTTACGTTTGTTTCCAGGCTCTCGTATGGAGTACGAATGTTCAGGAATTGAGTACTTTCCAAACGAGGAATACAGTCCTGATTTAACCGATTCAACAATGGCAATACCATGTGAGTAATGAATGATTATTAAATATTTTTTAAAAAAAAGCAGACAAATTTTTATTACACACGTATTAAAAATATTAATCGTCCTCTACACGAAACGGATTTATCGAAATAAAAAAAAATGTTTATTTTTTATTTTTTAATTTTTATACGTACTTTTTATTGTTTTGTATTGTAAATTTTGTATTATTTTTCTTTTATATTCTACATTTTATGGAAATTAACTTTTTAATTTAGAAAAATACAAAATTATTTTTTTTTTGTTATTTATCAATTTTATCGAAATTTTCTTTCTGATTATTTTAAATCAGAAAATTTTCCTGATCAGACAATTTTTTTTTCAAAAAAAATTTTTTTTTGTGTGAAAAATAATTTACTTTGAGGAAGAATAATTTATTTTGTGAAAAAATAATTTATTTTGTGAAAAAGTAATTTTTTTTTGTTAAAAACTTATTTTGTTTTGAGATAGAATAATTTTTTTCTTCAGTGTGAAAAAAATCTTTTTTTTTTTTTTGAGAAAATTGAGGACAAAATCGAGAGACATATTTTTGATGTATGGTAAATTTTATGTATATACGCGGTATTATGTGAGAAAATATCTTGATGTCGTTAGAAGTTTACTTGGCGTGAAATCGAGTAGATACAGTCAAAAGAAGAGAATAGTCTGGCAGAGGAACTGAAAAGCACGCACACAATTTTCACAGTACCTGAATTCGCATAAATTAGGGTTATAATTTTGGATAAGCAGCTCAAAATTTACCTCAGTGCCTTTACAAGATAACTTTAGTGCGATAAACTTTACCTCACGCCTAATGAATTTTATTTGGATTTATAATCCGCACGAGAAACTATTTAAAATCATTAAAAGTCTTTTGTCTCATAAAGTTCACTAATTTTGAATTTTCTATTAAAATATGTAAATTTATTTTTCTCTTATTTCTTTCATTTACATGTAATTTAATTTACTGGTTCAATATTAATCATTAAATAAATATCAAATTAAATTAATCAAACAAATTAAAATTAATAATTTAATTTCCTTTTTTTATTTCATTTATCAGTAAAATTCTCCGTTGAATTAAAAACTCGAAACAACATTTTATTTATTAGTTATTAGATTCTACTGAAAAAAATCAAATTTTATCAATATTTGGAAATTTTATTTTGTTTTCACTTTATTTTTTGATTACTTTTTTATTTCCAATTTATTTTTCGCTTTTCATTTTATTTTTTTATAGATATTTTATTTTATACTTTTTATTTTATTTATAGTTTACCTATATTTTAAATTTTTATTTATTATTTTCTTTTATATTTTTAATTTACCAATATTTTTGTAAATAAATAAATATTTTGAAATTTTTTTTTGTTTCTTTATTTTTCTTTTATTTTTTTTATTGATATAAAATGTATACGGATATTAATTAAAATGCAGACAAAAGTTATTTTACTTTTTTTTTTTTGCTCTGATCTCTTCCTGTACATTTTGTGCTTCTCTCGATAAAAATTACTGAAAACTCAAATGTTTGCTTTCGTTTAAAACCGCCCAATCGTTTCACTTTTCTCGTCGTAGATATTATAAGAAAGATCTCGATATAGAGTGAAGTTCATATATCCCCCTTGAAATCGTTGCTCATATAATGGAATATCGTGTACCGTCAACAATTTTAAATTTCTGATCTCTGGTAATTTGTTCTATCAAAAGACTTTTTTCTCTTTTAACAAGAAAAAAATAAATAAACGGAAATGAATTTTCTTTGTAATAAAATGAAAATTTCTTAGAAGAACATTTTCTTTCAAAGCGATAAGAAGAAATTTTTTTTCTGTTTGTATATGATGATTATTTTTAACCAAACAAAATTTTTATACTTGGAAAATTTATGTACAAAAAATATACCAACAAAATTTTTTTGTTATATTTTTTTTGTATTAAAAAAAATTAATTTTCTTGTATTTGTTTGCATTTAAAAAATAGAAAAATATTTTTGTTTTATTTTTCTATAAAAAAACCCCTTTTGTATTTTTTTGTAGGTATTAAAAAAATAGCAAAAAGGTTTTTGTTTTTTTAAGAAAGAAATAAATAGAAAAATTCTCGTTGTAATTTTTTGTACTAGAAAATAGAAAAATTCTCTTACTGTATTTTTTTTGTGATTAAAAAATAGAAAAATTCTTTGCTGTATTTTTTTTGTATTAAAAAAAAGAAAAATTCTCTTCTCGCTCTTTTTGTATTAAAAAAATAGAAAAATTCTTTTCTCGCATTTTTTATATTAAAAAATAGAAGAAAATTGTCTCATTCAATTTTTTTGCATTAAAAAAATAGAAAAATTCTCTCCTTGCATTTTTTTTTTTGCACCAAAAAAAAAAGAAAAATGTTATTTCTCCAGTCAATTTTTCCATTAGACAAATATTTTACCTCGCTAGTGAAGAAGTATAACGAAAAAAAAGGAAAGATAAATACCAATATTGAGGTTCTGTATTTCAATAAAAGCGCGGCACTTATGGTTATATAGAGCGGAGTTTTTCAAAAAAAAAAGAAGAAAAAAAAAATTCTCTATGTCACGTGTATTAATAAAGAAACTCTTATATCTTTTCAACAAGCAAAAAATAATTTTCTTTTCTTCCTTTCAAGTCCACAATCTTCTTTGCCAGTTTCCTTCTCTTTTATAAAATAAAATTCGTTTAATATCACTTTTCGCAACGTTTTTCTTCGCAGGAAATTCTTTCACGAATCTCAACCATCTTTGGTAAATCAATTTTTTCTCCTTCCTTCCATCCCTGTTCTTCTCTTCTTTTTTCACAGATAATTATACGAGATATTTTTTTTTTTTATTTTTTCTTTAAATATATTTGATAACATTTTTAATCAATTTTGTTTTAAATACAGGATATTTGATAACATTTTCTAATCAAACCTTGAAAATATATTTTCAACTATATTTTTTTTTTCATTGAAAAATATATTTGATAAGATTTTAAATTAATTTTCAAAAATAATATTTTTATCACAGTTTTAATCAATTATTAAAAAAATACATTGGAGAACAAATAAAATCAATATTTAAAAAATATTTGGTGACATTTTGAATTAATTTTTGAAAAATAATATTTTATGACATTTTTAATCAATTATTAAAAAAAATAAAAAATATATTTTTCATAACTAAGAAGAAAAATTATATTTTAAACTCTAAAGCACAAAAATATTATTTAACTCTAATGTGCAAAATAATATTTTTTTATCCTAGGGAGGAAAATTATTCCTTCATTCTATTTATGAAAATATTTTTCTAGTCTACAAAATAAAATTTTCAATAGTATTGAAAATCATTGAATTTAACAAAAGAATTTTATCAAAAAATCTGAAAATAATTAAACTCCTTTGAAGAATTTTATTAAATTATTATTATTAAGGGCATTTGAACCATTATGACGTCATAGGTTCTGCAAAGCATGTGTTTTAAGGCTGTGACGTCATCATGGTTCAAATGCCCTTAATTATTATTAATTAATTATTATTATTATTAATTATTATTATTATTAATTATTATTATTATATTATTATTATTATTATTATTATTATTATTATTATTATTATTATTATTATTATTATTATTATTATTATTATTATTATTATTATTATTATTATTATTATTATTATTATTATTTATTATTATTATTAATTATTATTAATTATTTTTATTTAATTATTATTATTTTATTTTATTTTTTTTATTTTATTTTTATTCCTTCGAAGAATTTTATTATTTATAAAAATAATTGAATTCTCGCGGAGAAAAACTTTATATTTTTTTAAAATAATGGAGTTTCAATTTTAATAAAAAATTTTCAAAATAATTAAATTTATAAAGAATTTCTTTCAAGTAGGTATTTAAAATAATCGTGTTTTTCAATAATAGATATTAAATATTTAAATATTAAATTTCATTAAAATTTTTAGAAAATAATTAAATTCTTCTCAGAATTTTATAACAATTTTCTAAAATAATTAAATTTATTCAAGGCATTTATTGGAATATAGAAAATAATTAAATTTATTTAATTTAATGAATATAATAAATTTTCTTAACAAATGTAAATTATAATTTAATAAATTAATTGTGCAAACACCCAGGGTTCGCACTTAGGTTTCTGACAAAAATATTAAAGTTTAAAATTTTTAAAGCAAATAAATCTTAATTTTAAGTACTTTTTTGAAAAAATGTCGATAACTTTTTTGCTTTTTGTTGTACAAAAATGTGTCTGAAAAAAAAGTTGTTTGTTCTTGCACAAAATTTAAGGAAAACCGATGAAAAACAGATTTTACTAAAAATTGACAAAAATAACAAAGTTTGAAATTTTCAAAGTAAATATTTCTCGAGGTTTGGTTCTTTTTTCGAAAAATGTGATAACTTTTTTGAATTTTGTCGTACAAAAATGTGTCTAAAGGAAAAGTTGTTTGTTTTTGCACAAAGTATAAGGAAAAAAGCATAAAACCAGATTTTACTGAAAATTGACAAAAATACCAGAGTTTGAAATTTTCAAAATAAATATTTCTCGAGTTTTGGTACTTTTTTCGAAAAATGTGATAACTTTTTTGATTTTTGTCGTACAAAAATGTGTCTAAAGGAAAAGTTTTTTGTTTTTGCATAAATTTTAAGGAGAAAAGCAGAAAAGCAGATTTTACTGAAAATTGACAAAAATACCAAAGTTTGAAATTTTCAAAGTAGATATTTCTCGAGTTTTTGTACTTTTTTCGAAAATTGTGATAACTTTTTTGATTTTTGTCGTACAAAAATGTGTCTAAAGGAAAAGTTGTTTGTATTTGCATAAATTTTGAGGAGAAAAGCAGAAAAGCAGATTTTATTAAAAATTGACAAAAATACCAAAGTTTGAAATTTTCAAAGTAGATATTTCTCGAGTTTTTGTACTTTTTTCGAAATTTGTGATAACTTTTTTGATTTTTGTCGTACAAAAATGTGTCTAAAGGAAAAGTTGTTTGTATT